GCCTTAGCACTGGGAATGAGAGAGATTGAGGAAGAAGGGTTGGATTTATACCCCGCCCTTCACTCCGAGTCTCAAAACGGTTTACAATCTCCTCTCCCTTCCCCTCCAGTTTGGTGTAGTGGTTAAGTAGTGGTAGAGAGCCGGTTTGGTGTAGTGGTTAAGTGCGCGGACTCTAATCTGGGAGAACCAGGTTTGATTCCCCCACTCCTCCACTTGCACCTGGTTGGATGGCCTTGGGCAAGCCATAGTTCTGGCACAGCTGTCCTTGAAAAAGAGCAGTTTCTGTCAGAGTTCTCTCAGCCCCACCTACCTCACAGGGTGTCTGTTGTGGGGAGGGGAAGGGAAAGGAGTTTGCAAGCCACTCTGAGACACCTTTGGGTAGTGAAGTAAATCCAACCTCTTCTTCCCTTGTGAGGCAGGCAGGTGGGGCTGAGAGAGCTCTGACTGAGAACTGCTCTTGAGAAAACAGCTCTGAAAGGACCTGTAACTGACCCAAGGTCACACCGGCACTCTTAACCATTACACCAAACGACATGCAGTTCTATTTAATACAGGAAATGCTAATGGGAACTGCAGATGGACTTTTATTTTAGGCATTTAAAAAACCGCTTTCCTATCTCTGGCTTGACTGTATACACCTTGGACAGGACAGGAATGTGTCTTGCGTGTAGCTCACGGAGAGTCGAAACACAAAATCCATTGTCCGCCTATGGACTGGGCAAATTGAGGACTACAGCTCCCACAATACATCGCACATCCCGCATCAGCCCAATCTCTAACAACAACAAAAAAGCCTGTTGGGTGATGCATGGTGGGTAGTGCTTCTCTGATCAGGCACTCAGAAGGCCAGCCCTTCCCTCTCGAACGAGGTCCTTGGAGCGGGGAGAGCGTGGCGCGCTGAATTGTGGGTCTTTCTCTTTCCTCTTCGGGATCCGCGGTCGGCAAGATGGGTGAGTGGCTCTGACCGGGGAGTGCCCCGTTGGGGGGAAAGAGCGGAGACCGTGGCAGCAGCTCCCGCGCGGGAAAGGCGGCTTATGCATCTGAATACGCAACATGTGCCTCCTTTCCCGGCAACTGGCGGTTCTCGACCTCTGGAGGAGGGAGCCACGCGGGCAGCTTCCGTGGAGGCAGGCCTCGGCGTGACAACGTGACACCCGGTGCCTCCTTCAGGGGTACCCTGAGGACAAAGAGCAGTCGAGGCGCAACTCTGCCTCAGCGGGCCAGCCTGCGCCTCGACGCGCTGATTTCTGCAGTGCGTCCCCCAGCCGCTGCCCACGCGCCTTTGAGGATGAAGTGCAGGCAGGCTGTTGGGGCGGAGTTTTAAGGGCCTCGTGGTGGTACTCCAATAGTGGAAAGGCGATGTGAGCAGAAATGTACCTCCCTTTCTCCCGTTTAATATGGCTTCCTTTTGGATAAAGAGAAGGCATGCGTTTCGTTAGTGTATCGTCCAGTCATAATTTGATTTTTAATTACAGTTTTCGTTAGAATTCTGTCTTTTTTTCAAAGATCTCAGGGTGGTGATCATACTTTCCTCCTTTCCCCAGTTTTATCCCTCTGATAACCCAGTGAGGTGTGCCAGGCTCAAAAAGAGCTAAGGTTGGCAACAGGTAGGAGGATCTGGTCAAGTCAAGATGCAGAAATGGAGATGTAGGATGCCATTTTTGCCTCCGTGTTTCCTATCGCAGCTTACTTGAGCATTGGTGGGAGGCAGGAAGGATCAGCGGGAGCCCTCCTGCTGGAGGTGGGTATGTGGCATTCCTAGCAGAGAGCGAGGAGTCCAAAGCCACCATGAGCCCCAACCCAGGTCTTAATCCAACACACTAATCACTGCAGCACAAGAATGAGCAATTCATTCTATTACACCAGAAGAACACGAAATAGAGAAACAAGTGGCTCTCATGTCCCACATAAGTTGTCCGTGGAGACTTTTTAATGCCCCATTCTCAGATTTGCTCTGACAAATTGCATTATATTAAAATACTAAAAAGATAAGAAGTGACATGGCAGAAGCTGAGCTTCATGAGAGAAGTTCTATTTCTTGCCATGGGGAAGCTTTTATCCATACCCTGTTTGTAATGCCTTAATGTAGCTTTCTTTTTTTTAACCTGTTGTCCTCAGTGGTGTAGCTGTGGTTCTGTTGGAGCAACCAGATTCTGTATTTAGAAGGTATTTCATGAAGTGACAGGTTAATTTTTAGCTAGCATATTGGATGCTGTGAATCTTTTTATACCTCATAAAAGAAGGTTGGATTGAGGCATGTAAATTCTATGTGTTTATTTGTTGGTATCTTACTATTTTCTAATGCACTGGTTCTTAGGTAAGTGCCGTGGGCTTCGTACCGCCAGGAAGCTGCGCAGTCACCGACGAGACCAGAAGTGGCATGACAAGCAGTACAAGAAGGCCCACCTGGGCACTGCTCTGAAGGCCAACCCCTTTGGGGGAGCTTCCCATGCCAAAGGAATTGTCCTGGAAAAAGTGTGAGTGACGCTTGGGCTGTGAATTCTTTCTTTTTGCCCCCCGTAGAAAGGGCCTCAGGACATCTTAGTACAGTATACTTCTGCCATGTTATTTTTATTATATGTTTATCTTGCTCGTATGTGTGGTCACAAATACATTGTTAGCACCTAGTGCATTTATAGCACCTAATTATAAGGAAACTTTATCAGTGCTAGCACTAGAAAAATTTAGCCCTCATCTTAACTGGCTTTCTAGATTGTTTTTATTTGTTAATTTTGTAGTGTTTGTGCAGGAAAATAAATACAGGCCAATAAAAGGAAGAAATGCTCGTTAATGTAGTGAGTCTCTTCATTTGAAATTACTTTTAAATTTCTGTAAAGAAAAAAATGTAAAGTTAATGCATCTTAAAATAGTGTCGGCACTTCTGAACCTCTGCTGAAGGGTTCAGTTACAATAAATAATAAAGAACTTTATTCACAACTGTTGTCTCTTGAACAGTTTCTCACTAAGGTGGGCTCGTAAATGGATATTCCCTCTGACATAAATTTGTTATTTCTGCAAAATATGCCTACTTGCATCTAACCTCAATGAATGTGGTTGTCCTAACCATAGACCATAGTTCTGACAGTAAACACACATGTATCTTTATTATTTCCATTTTAGTGGTGTAGAGGCTAAACAGCCGAATTCTGCCATCAGGAAGTGTGTCAGAGTCCAGCTTATCAAGAATGGCAAGAAAATAACAGCCTTTGTTCCTAATGATGGTTGTTTGAACTTCATTGAGGTAAAGTACTTATTCTGCTCTGCAGAGGAGCTATACATTAAAAAAAATTATTTACTAGTACAGCAGATATGGGGATAAAGTAGCAAAGCCTTGTGACACCTTAAAGACCAACTAATTTATTTTGATATGAATTGTGATGAGACAGAGACCAGTTCATCAGATGCATGAAGTAGTAGGTTGTTCTGGCAGCTTTACCAACTGCATGTAATTCTATATCTGATAAGCGGAATCTGGTTCATGAGAGCTTATGCCACAATAAGCTCATGAAAGCTTATCCCCACCACCACACATAAGGATGTTATAATAAGTTATGAGAATCAACTTCTTAATGGATGGCCTGTGAGTGTACAGGGATGGGTTTGGACAGTTCTAGGTGCTCACTTCTCCAAGAAAGAGTATAGGAACCGTCACTGTCTACTTAGGTGCCATGGTCAGGAGCCTATGGGGAACTAGAACTATGGCAGCCTGTTCCAGAACTTTTTCACTGATAGCCCTGAAGCAAGCTGCACTCTGCCTTTCACAAACTGGGAAACAATAAGAATATCTTGTTTAAAAGAACTTCTAATCTGAACTAACTAAACTGATCTGGTTGACTTAACACTGCTGATTTTTGCACTGTTGTCCTGGAATACAGTGAAGTGAGTTGGATCCCATCATAACACCAATGCAAGGCATACAACTTCAGTTTTCTAGGACCACATCCCACAAACTTTGGGGCTACTGTTCTTCCTGTACTGCTGTAAGGCTGTTTATGAATTGATGATAGATTTATAGTTCAGTACTAAGCAAGTGTGCACAGTACCGAGGGTTTTTAAAGAACCAAGTTTATTTTGAAATATTTAGGTCTCACTTTTCTGCCAGCCAGCAGGACTCAAAGTTGGCTGCAGTGTTTATTAGTATACACTAGTTCATACTATGAATATGTATGAAATTACATTTTATTGTTTAATTACAGGAGAATGACGAGGTTCTGGTAGCTGGCTTTGGTCGGAAGGGTCATGCTGTTGGTGACATTCCTGGAGTTCGTTTCAAGGTTGTCAAAGTAGCAAATGTTTCTCTGTTAGCCTTGTACAAAGGCAAGAAGGAGAGACCAAGATCATAAAACTCTTTCTGAATCTTTAAGATGGTCAATAAAGTTTTCTCAAATGTTTTTGTGCTAGTTACTATGTGGAGTTGTGTTTTTAGCCATTGTCTACCTGGATCACTCAGGCTGCAGTCCTAAGAATACTTTCCTGGGAGTAAGCACCATTGAATAAAGTTGGGCTTACTTCTGAGTAGACCTGGTTCAACTTGTCCCCACAATACCACTATTGTTAGAGGGGAAGCGTTCTGTTCTTAATTCCATAGATCTCCATCATGTCCCAGTTAAATTTTCATTTATTTGGTTTTGTAAGAGAGACCAGTCTCTTTACTCTTTTTCTCCATAGAAGAAGAAGAGATTGGATTTATACCCCACCCTTCACTACCCAAAGGAGTCTCAGAGCGGCTTACAAACTCCTTTCCCTTCCCCTCCCCACAACAGACACCCTGTGAGGTAGGTGGGGCTGAGAGAGCTCTGACAGAAACTGCTCTTTTTCAAGGACAGCTCTTGTCAGAACTATGGCTTGCCCAAGGTCATCCAGCAGGTACAAGTGGAGGAGTGGGAAATCAAACCCAGTTCTCCCAGATTAGAGTCCTGGCACTTAACCACTACACCAAACTGGCCATAGGAAATGTGCTCTTGAATATTTAGACAACTAGCTCAAGAATTCACCATGCAGCTATAATTCTTGGACTACCTTTGCAGATGGCAAGCGTAGGGTGGCTAGTGGAAGTATTCCATCATGCCATCACTCACCTGCACTCTAAAGTGGTAACATCTGGAAATAATTTTGCCATGAGTTGAACTGTTTGTCTAGAGTACCTCTAGAGAGGGAAGTTTGCAACTCTTGAGTCAGCTTGTTCACTTCACTTTTTCCTTGTGTCTCCATTTATGAATGTTAAATAGTACTAGTCCTCATGTGGATCTTTCGGGGAACCCATAATTTGTTTATTATGGGTCAGATTCACAGTACCATGAGCAGAGTTAGGCTCACAGAATGAGAATTTTCTAGACAGTGCCTCCCTCCCCCCAGCAGCCTTCCTGATGTTCTCTTGGCAGTCAAGGAAACCTTCATGAACAGTGCATGGGAGAAAAATGGGGTCTGCAAAGAGAATAACGAAAATTACCCTCCCAGCTGCACATTGAAACCTCATTCTAGCATAAGGGCTGCTATGCTGATGGAAGACCACCTTGGGCTTCAACTCAATATGTATCTTCTCAGCCAAAGTTTCTTTCCCAAAACAGCTTGCAGAAATTAAGCTAATGCCAAAGATGAAGGTAAGTACAAAATATTGGAAGAGGGGTCCTCAGATAAACTGGATTTGGGCGATATGGAGGAGTGCTTGGCTGCTTCCCTCTTTTGGTGTATTTATTTACTTCCTATTTGGGGGGGGGATCTGCTTATTCCTACCTTCTGGTTTTGTTTTTAACTAGTTAACAGCTAACTGTAAGAGGACCTGGGTTGTCAGCTACTTTGATTTTTGGTCTTTTTATTACCCCCTATTATTCATGGAACGTGCTGTGGGAAATGCAACTTCAGAACATTCTAGAGTTTTATCCTAAGAAGCAGACCTCACATTCTTTTCGGGAGGCCTTTTAGAACCCTTCCACCCTGTTCTTTTCTAACCAATCACTGCATTAGCAGCAGCTTGGAAACCTGTTGCCTTGGCACAAGCCATCTTGGGAATTGCCTGAGCACATGTACAGGGTAGAACTGTCAGATGACATTTCTCTTCATCCACCCCCTACTTACAACTGATGGATTTAACTTGAGTAAGGGATCATGTGAGAACCTCACCCTGCAACTGAAAATGAGGGTCACAAGACTGACATGAAAACTACTTGACAGAAGCTGTCAAATCTGAAATGATAGGTCTTGAATGATTCAGTAGCAGCACTTCCTACAGAAACAGGTGTGTTTTGTTTGAATAAGCATCTGCTGACTCCACATACCAAGCAGAAGCATTTTATCTGCTTGATAGCCAATTAATATGGGCCATCAGAACGCCAACTGCAGGACAAAGATAATAGTACAGTGGCTCTTTGATGCCATGTCCGGCTTCCCATCTACCTTACAGTTTTCTTATAATCCTGCTCAGACATTTATTTATTAGATTCATATCCTGCCTCTCGCAACTAGATGGCTTACCACTACACCATAGTCTCTGGCTTTTAAGTCATAAAGCAGTTCTCCTTATGGCAATTACTTCTGCAGGACAAACAACTGAGTTGAGTGCCCTGACATCTTAGTGTAAGGGCATAGGCTTTCCAATTTCCGGGAGCTGGGGCTTGTCCAGAGGCATTGCTATGCTAGGTCCTTAAAAGAACTGGGGCCCAGTGACCTCACAAGCCATTTTTACTACGGAGGTGGAGCCATGTGGGATTTAGGTAGGGGCTCCCCAAAAATGTAGGGGGAGTATCTCAGTTATCTCTTGCTGTGTCCTGTTTTTGAAATTCATTTTTAGAATAGTCACTTTAAGATCTGCAAATATTCATACCATGTAAATAGGACAAACTAATGGTCACAAATCTGACAATAAGAGAGGCAACAGAAAAATCGGGCTTGTGCCCGATTGTAAGCCACCCTGAGCCTGCGTAGCGGGGAGGGCGGGCTATAAATTGAACCTATAAATAAAAATAAATAAAAGCCTGTAGGGGAACATTTTAAAAATGTTCCTGGACATTCATTTACAGGAGTCTTGTTTTAGCCTTATTCATAAGGGTGACTACTAAATTGTGGCATCACAGAGGGTTTCATTTGGTAAATGTATGGCTGGAGTCTCTGAGTCAGGGCAGAATACAAAACAGTTGCTGTGCACTCAATTTCTGAGCAATGTACACCATTCAGAGTAGTAGCAATCTTCTCAGTACTCTAGGACTTGAATAGCAGTCCTGGGATTAGAAGAAGTTCTGAGACTGAAATGACAACACCTGGGACTTGTAGCAGTGTTCTGGGACTATCATTCCACTCTGAGCTGTCATTCCAGTCCCAGAACACCTCTGCTACTCCCAGGGGCCATCATTCCACTCTGGGGGCTGTCATTCCAGTCCCAAAGCACTGAGCCTATTCCCAGGGGCTGTCATTCCACTTTGCAACCTGTCATTCCACTCTGACCTGTCATTCCAGCCCAGAGCACAGATTCTATTGCTAAGGATTGTCATTCCACTCTGGGGGGCTGTCATTCCAGTCCCAAAGCACAGATTCTCCTAGGGACCATCATTCCACTCTTGGGGGGGGGGGGGGTCATTCTAGTCCAAGAGCAGAGATTCTCTTCCTAGGGCCTGTCTTGTGTGCATGCACACGAAAACTCATACCCTGAATAAACTTTTGTTGGTCTTAAAGGTGCCACTGGACTCTAAATTTGTTTTACTCTGGGGGCTGTCATTCCAGCCTCAGAGTAGCCTGTCTGGGCCCAAAGACCTTAATGGAAAAACCATTCCTCATTTTCTTTGCAACTTTTTTTGTGTTGCAATGTATTTCAGTGGAACCCATGCAAGTCAATTGGAATTCCTGGCTCCAATGGGCCTTCAAGCCTCTCCCATTGTTTTCAATGTACAATTCTGTCATTTAATACATCCCAGTTGGTTGCCCCTTTGAAAGTATAAAAGGTTAAAGGTAAAGATTTCCCTTGCTCGAAAGCCAATCGAATCCACCTCTAGGGGGCGGTACTCATTTCCGTTTCCAAGCCTAAGAGCCAGCACTGTCCAAAGAGATTTCCATGGTCATGTGGCCAGCATGACTAAATGCTGAGGCACACAGAACGCTGTTACTTTCCTACCGAAACAGTACGTATTTATCTACTTGCAATATATTGCTTTCAAAGTGCTAAATTGGCAGAAGCTTGGGCCAGAGACAGGAGGTCACTCTGTCATGCGGCACTAGGGTCTTGAACTGCCAAACTACAGACCTTCCAGTCGGCAGCTCAGCATCTTAACCTCTGAGCCACTGCACACCATTTTAAGTAATAGCAAAATGAAGAGTGTGAACATGTACAGACTGCACATTCCAAGCCAATGTTCTCTCTCAGCTGCACACAGGGCAAAAGGAAATTTTAAAAGACCTCTGATCTGCATGTCTCCCCCCACACACCCAATCTTGTTCATGCAGATGGGCTTACCATTTAAAAATGAAATGGAAATTGAAAGAAGAGTTTAGGAGTGGCTGAAGCAGCCCCGCCCCACTACCACAAAAAAAAATATTTTCCTGTGGCAAGGAATGTTATCAAATCTCTTTCCCCACTAAGGTAAAGGTAGCTGCAGTTCCTAAAGACTAGCATTTGACACCTCCCTGCTAGGAGAAGGGGGATGTTTTAACAATCCCATTGTCTATCCTGCTAGCTCAATTAGCATTTGTAAGAAAGTGAGCCAGGAAGGATAAAATTGAGGCCAGAATAAAATAACCCACACTGGAAAGTTTTTAACTTAATATTGCCCGGCACTGGTTGGCCAGGGGAGGCCCAGTCCATCCACCACCACCACCCCCCGGGGCAGGATGCCTTCACATTCTGTTATGAGCACAAATTGGAGCTGTGTTAGCTTCTAGTCTAGGAGGAATATCCTGTGGTAACTTGAAGGTTCACTGATTATTTCATAGTTCACTTTGTGCTGATGCTGATGATATAGGCTTTTGTATAGTCATGATGCCACGCAGTAACAATTACCTGTTATCAGGGCTTTTCTCTTTTTTTTGGAAAAAGAGGTGCCTGAACTTTCAAGAGATAAAGTTTTCAGTCTGTATACTGAAAGCTCATGAACTTTTAAACATTTTAAAACGAATTTTGTCAAAGAGGCTCTGGAACTCTGTTCTGGCGCGTTCCCCCAGAAAAAAAAGCCTTCCTGTTATACTTTTGTTTCCACTGCAAATGCAACAGAGCATCCAGTCCGGAAGATTCTATTTATTTTCCTCCCCCCTCCCCTCCATGCTACCTGAGGGCATTCTGTAGCTTTATTTAAAGGCACTTGGCAATATTGCTATAGTAATATAAGCAACTGTTATGGATTTATTAATATGAGTTTTAGATAACCCAGGCTCATCTATTTGAAGTGGGCAATGAAATTCTCAAGCTA